GAATGTAAGAGAAACAGAAACTTTCCCAAGTGCCCATTTATAAGTATAGGGGCAATAACGATGCTGTTTAAGCAATGCTTTTAGGCAGCCAAATTTTTGTCCTACACTGCCATCTAGGGAAAACCTTTCATTATGGCTCTATCGACATGGCTTTAAAGTTACAAATAACAGCAGGGACAAAGATAGTATCTGGCAGCGTGTTTCGAAAGCAGAGCTCTTTCCATGGACATTTAGGATCTGGGTTGTGCTCTGGTCCTTCTGTATGCCAGTTTGCTGCTTTAAAACCCACATACCTGACATGTGACTTTCCTTCTCTCACCCTATTCGGTAGGGCTAAAAGGTATACCTTTCACTTGGAGAACCACCTTGCTGCTTTGTTTAAATGGAGATGATTAACCCCATGCTAAAAAAAAAGTTACTAGCAATGTGACCCAAGCCTGCAATTTCCTGATTCACAATACAAAGCCTATATTGCTGGTCTCCAGTCTGAGCTGAAATCCAGCTCAGGTTTTAGTCTGAGCGCGCTCCCATCACCCCCTGGCCCTTGATTCTCTCCCCTGCTTCCCATTTATCTGATTGGGTGGCACGCCAGGTCTCTCCCTAGAGGTCCCCTTCCCTCCCTTGGTCCCATGCATCTTCCACACTAGGTATTAATGTCTGTGGGAAGTGGGGCATTCCTGAAGTTAGTGGAGTTCTTTGGGGAAGCACTTTCTCAGGTGCCTGGCAGGCTGCCCCACGAGACTCCATTTTCCCAGGAGGGAGCGCCCAGAGAGCCACCTTTGCCATTGTTGTCACCTCAGAAGGTAAGGGGTCAGTGGCCAGGTTGCTCGTGTCATTTGGAGCACAAGCAGAATGTGACGTGAGCTTGGAAAAATATATCGTTTTGCTTGCTGAGCTCAATTTCAGGTTAAGCCAAGTGGAGTAAGCTCAGTATTAAAGGTTAGGAAAGTTGAAGAGAGCTAGAAAAAATGTCAGAGAAGAGTGCCAAGAACCTTATTTAAGATTTCCAAATAATATAATGTACACAGCTGTTCTTCAGCTTTGGAAATTTTACAGTCCATTTGGCATCACAGTTGAAGCGGGACAAAAAAGACATTAAAAGGCTTGTTCAATTGGAATCAAGAATACTCACTTGAAAGCAAACAGTTCTGGATTGGTCAAAATCTAAACTTATTACTTGGGAATAAGCTTTATGGAAGTTTTTAGGGCTTGCTGCCAGGTATCTTTCTGTGGGGCTAAGGCATAGCTGCAAGGGATCATGTGTAAAGAGGGCTCCCACTGTGGATTTAGAATGAATGGCCTAGGAGCTGCTTGCAGTGTCTCTATGATACGGAAGCAGGGGCAGGAGAAGGAAGGGCATTGTGCCAAGATGAGGTCCAGCTGTCTCTTCTACTTCCTATCACATCTGAAAGCTCCTCTAGGTGCACAAATCTTCATTCCTGTTTGAGAGCAACCAGCCTTGCAGCAGGGACCTCCTGGGGATCAGGATCTGTATCTACGAGCATACAGATATACGTATCTATACATGCATACTACATACGTACTAAGAGCATGTGCATGACCATATGTAACAGCTGACCTTCCTTCTTCTCCTTTTCTTCCCCTTCTTCTTTCCAAAAGCAAGAGATTCTTGCTTTGGACATGGCTGAGAAATATGCCTAGCCTCCTAATTTGTTTATATGGAATTCCTAAACATGTTATTTTCCTAAATGTGTTTAGGATTTTGACCACTCCAAAGCTGCTCACTTCTCAGTGAGTACTGTCTGATTTCTACAAGCAACTGCATTTGCCTAAACCCCTTTTATTTGGTTAGTCAGATACTACGTGTTCTTTTCTGGAAGCTTGCACAGTGCCTTTCCTCACATTCCCGCGATGCTGGAAGCTTTGGAAATGGAGATTTTGCACATGCCAGATGGAACGGTGGTAGATAGGCTGTTGGGGCTGGAATAGTTTGTGCTTTGGGGAGAGCCATGACCTTTACAGGCACTGGATCCTGTTGATATTTGAGTCATAACAATCTTTACTAGGGGAGGAAACAAATGGGTGATGTTAACCATACTAAACAAAAAACACACAATACTTTGACCTCCTAATATTCTTGCCCTTCATACAACCAAAGCTTCACTTGTTTCTGCCAAAGAGCTAATCCTGACATCAATTCTCATGCCACATAGTTTTCACCTCAGCAACAGACTTAAACACTGTTGCAGGCTGCCAAATGCTAGCTCAGATCCAAATGTTCCTTTCATGATAGAAAAAAGTATCTGTCTGACTAACTGGCTATCTTTTTAACCAAAGCAGGTAACTCCATGAGCTCTGATTCAATGAGCTGATGCATCAACCCATGCCAATCACCCTTGGTGGTGGTGAGAGCCCATTGTCAGCTATTGCCTTGGATGCTCGTGTTCTTCTCAGGCCTGTAGCCTTAGGCAGGCCTGAGCTTGAAGTCTGCATGGTCAACAAGCCAACTCCGCATGCTCCTCTTCCATCTTTTCCCAACTGTAGGGAAACTACTAGGTTAAAAGAGCTTTGGGTCTAACAGGGTCGACAAATGACGACGCGGATTGATTTGGCTCTGCACATGGATATTCTAAGAAAACATGGGGCACACAATCTTCAGGAGGATCCAATTCCACTTGCATCCACCAAGCTGGCAGAAGCAGAAGCAGGTTTCCTCAACCACTCCTCCCCAGAGCAGCTGCTCCAAACCCTGCTGAATGGGATGAGCTGTGGCATATGGGTGGAGGGGGATGTCTCCACCACCACCAAGCTGCCAGAGGCATCTTCTATGGGAAGAGCCCTTCTGGTCACAGAAGGCAAATCCTGGATCCAACCCATCGTCTCCAATCAGACTCAGCTCATGTCAGATGCCTCCCATAACTGAGCTGCCAGCAATGGGGAACCGCCACTGAACACGTGTGCAGTGGCTGTTGTCTGGGTCAGCTTCATAGGGAACTAGGACGACGCCAGGGCAGCTGGGTAAAGCTCTTTCACATGCAGCTCCCAAACTCTGGAAAACACAATGACTTGACACCAACTCGTGCTCTTAAGCAGCCTTCTCTAACCTGGGGCCCTCCAGATGTGCTGGACTACAATGAACATCAGCTGCAAAGCCACCCTCCCTCAGTCTGGGGCTATCCAGCCATGCTCCCATCATCCCCAACCATCATGGTCATTGGGCATTTGCATTTGCAAATGTTTGGATTTGCAATCTGGCACATCAGGAAGGCACCGGGTTGGCAAGACAGTGGGCTGAAACATGGTGAATGCCTGTGCGCTCCTTGCCCCATAAAATAAGTAAGTTCAACCAGTTATATTCATTCACACTTGCTGCACCATGAAATCATCTGTCCAAATCAGCTTTCGGTGCCCAATGCTTAGCTTGCTTCTGAGGCCATTTCCTTTGTCTGCTGCCCTTGGACATCGGACAAGGCTACATTGCTATCCTGAGTGCTTGCTATTTCTTTTGCACTCCTGTTTATATATCTTAACTACCTAAGTGCTTATTTCCTTCGTCTCTTCACACTGTTTCCTACTTTCCTGGGCCACACAATGCTGTACCCCATCTTCGCTCTAGAGATGAGGTGGTATTTAGTCTGGATAAACAACTGATTGTTTCCAGGTTGCCATTCAATAAAAAAAGGAAAACTGTACTTTGAAAATTCTCATGACAGTTCATTATGCTGCCAGTAGAAGGGGAACGGGAGGTCAAGGAATTTAAAGCAGACACTAGGCCTTTTCATTACTAAGTCTCTATTTCTCTGCTAGTGATTCTGTTCTCAGTTTTATTCACTGATGACGTTTATTGAAATAACAACATAGGAACATATTTTAATTCTTGTCTGTCTTATATGGGTCAGATGTGAATAATCTGCATTTGTAGCACATCACATGAGAGGGCAGTGTGCTACTAATTAAGGCCATTAAGTGCTGATTCAGTTATTTACTACTGTCTGAAGAACAGTCGGTTCTTATTTCATGCCCAGAGAGGCCTGGTTTCTGGAGAGAATCAGTTTTGATGGGTGGTCTTGACTGGGAGAGGGATGGGAGGAATGCAGCCTGTTGCTGCTTCTCTTTGCTCAGTGGCTTTGATGCCACTGACCATGATTTCCTGCTGGACCAGCTCTGCCAGCTGTGGGGCAGAAGGCACTGCACTCCAGCAATTCTGCTCATCCCTGCAGGGCCAGCTTCAGGGCATTGCACTGGGCACCTTGGTCCAATGCCACAGTTGCACTGAGTAGTGTCGCAGTCAGAGACTGACCACACTGATTCATTCCTTGGTAAGACTGGAGTACTGCGACGCATTCCATGTGGAGCTTCCTCTGCGACTGGGAACTGTATGATTCAGTACTTGGGTTGCTGAGATGGGCAGCCTGTTTATACACGAATTCACAAAATGAAAGAACTGCTCTACGTACCTCTACAAAACAATCTTGAGCTATAAGCAGTTAGAAAAAGCCTGACAAACCCATCTCTTTGAAGATTTGTCTGTGAAAGTTTTATTGTCTCCTTCAAAGATGTAGGCATCACCCCGCAAATGAAGATCTTCATCACTCACTAGCTTGTGCTAACCATCTTTGCTGGCCAAACCAGCCAATACTGGTATAGTTCAAGCCCTGGAGCTCTCCCTGGACTCTGGAAGTTATTCAGACAAACATGACCAGCAGGACTCAAAGACTCTTCTGATAAAGGATCTAAAACCACAGCACAATATAGTAAGAAAAAAGATGCATACTTTGAGAATGCATTCGCTCTTTTCATTTTCTAACAGGCACAGAAATCTTTCAACAATGGCACACAGATCATGCAGTTCAGGTTCTTTGTCTTCCAATCCTAGGAAATTAGACCGTGAACCAAAATCTATTAATAATATTGTTATTAACTGTAGTTCATTTTCAGAAAAACTCTCCCGACTTCCCCCTTAACATTAAAGTAGAGGCTGCTGGAAAACTGTCTGGTAACAGCATCCCAGGGGTCTGGATTGGAGGTCTGTGCCATACCTTGATCACAGTAGATGCCAGTGGTTCCTAGTGGACAGTGGCAGGTGTAGCCATCGGGCAGTGGGACACAGGTGGAACCTTGCCGGCACTTATGCAGAGGGCTGTGCTCGGGATCACACACTGAAATTGTCTCTGTGCAGAACGCCCCTTTCCAGCCGGTGGGACAAAGACAGCTAGAGTGTGCCCAACACAGAAACAAGAAGACAGTATTAATAAGGTAGCCATGTACAAGACGTCCCCTGTGCCTTTTTCATTTTCATTTTGTTTTAAAGAAAAGCAATCTGGAGCAAAGAAACAGTGATCTCACCCCTTTCCCTTGGTATTCCTTTTCAACTCCACATAATCCTTCTACTTTGAAAGATTAGGAGGTGGATTTGGAGCTGAAAGGAGATGGGGGAAGGGGTTAAATTAGTAATGCCATACCATCGTAACACAATGTAAGTTGTTCTACCCACTGGGCAACTTCACGTCACAGCTTACCCAGCTAAACGGGGTGGGTTCGAATGAAACAACTCGTGGTGGGCTGACAGATATCAGCCCTGCTGTGGGTCCTCCTCCACTACTTCCCCTCCAGCCTTCCTGCAGATATTGCAGAAGACCAAGCAGCAGGACCGTCCATGTTTGCTCTCCCTGCTGCTTTGACAGGTGGTTACAGCTCTTTCAAATTGCCCACATTGCAGTTGTCACTGGCTCATCAATGCCCTTTTTTTTCAGGACAAGAAATTTTGGCAACTTTTCCCTAACAAATGTTTAAAAAATGTGTTGGGAAAAGTGTGAGCCAGCTCTCAACAAACCCACTGCTTTTTCTTTTTTCTTTTTGACAGGTCTACCCATGTGTTTTCTTGACAGGGGCATATGATTCATGCCTGCATATCAATCTGGCCAGAAATCCAGAATGGCCCTGCCAAGAATATCCTTTTAAAAGGAACTGGGGCTTTGACAGCCGGTAGAGCTGGTGGACTCATACTTCTTCATGTTCCTGAGATGCCAGAACCTTGGGAAAGGGTGGAGAAGTGTTAGGAACCTGAAAATACCTCCCACAGCACCAAAAAAAGAAGAAAAGAACCTTAAGGATATTGTTGTGAAGGGGGTGATCTCATGACCACCCTGTTGCAGAAATAAAGAATGTTCTCAGTTCTGCTTTCTCTCAGCAGCTTGATTTGCAACAGCTATCAAGAGGAACTGAAGTGTTTGCAATCTCTCTCAGTCAATGTCCATGGTGTATCCTCGCTCCACCATTTTGGGCCCGTGCAACTGTGGACATTTGTATAAGTCCAACAAAAGATAAAAAAGAAATGCTTGAAATGTTGTGTGGATTTCTTGCTCTGAAAAAATAAATAAAGAATGGGGTAATGAAAAGTTGTCAGCCCTTCCGGAGTGCCGCTTGGGCAGGGAGCCAAAGGTGAGTGGCAAAGGACTTATGATGGCAGGGGAGGGGCGCTAAGTCACTGCCGGTTCCTTCTGTGCGCTGCTTGGGTATTCGTGGGGCACCTGACACTGGGGACAAGGGATTTTTGCAAATCTTGCTAAGCTCCTTAATACCTCTTTCCACAGCACAAAAACCCATTGTTGGTCCAACAGGCTCAATAACGAATCATAGGCCGTTGGGTGGCTTGTTGCCTATGAACAAGCCACCTTGCAGGTTCCAGATTGCTCAACATGAGAACTCACGATGACGCTGGGTTGCCTTGTCATGTAAACCACTCATTGTGGAGAGCTTAGTTGACTATTGTCAGCAGCACAAAGAAGAGAAGAGGCCTGGAAAAAAGCCTGTCTATTATGCCCAACACGTTTTTGGAAAGGGCTTTACTCAGAGGGCGCTTACCTTTCTTCAAGTATGCTGTGGAAAATCTTTCTAATGTTTTTTGTTTTAAACAGGGGAAACATTAGAAAAATTTTCCATGACATATCTGGGGAAAGAGAGGCAGCCCTTCATGAAAGAAATTTCTTTTTGAAATGTGCTAAGTAAAACAGAAGGGTTTTTTTCAGGCACCTGAAAATATCTTCTATTTTGGGACCCATACTTTCTTATCTTGCTGTTTCCTAATTTCAGCAGCAACAACAACATATTTAAGCAAAACTAATCTGATGTAGGCTAACTCAATTAGGCTTCAACCCAAAACATTTAGTCCAACCGTGCTCAGTAGGAATTACTTTTGAGTAGACATTCATAGGATTGCACTGTTCAATTAACTTTCCTCTCTTCTTGTCTTAATTTCTCCTAAACAATACCAGTGTGGTGTTAAAGCTGAAGATGCTGCCCATCATATTTACTTCTCAATGACATATTTGGGTCCACGTGGGGTCTAGCAGCATTCGGGGGAACGAAGATGGCAGGCAGCCAGAGGCCAGTACTTTGCAGCATGCCTGACCATGCAAAAAGACATTTTAATGGGAAAGCAAAACCAAACAGGTATCAACAAAGCAGTTCATGGCCACTGGGGAACACATCTTCCTGTTGAAATGAAAGGCTGGGTGAACCAGCATTGGGTTTTCATGTGGAAGAACTGTGAGCTGTATTCCTTTCTGGTGCTCATGGCAAAGGCCTGGACCCAGAATGATTCTAGGTGGATGTCTTTTGATTCAGGCTTCAAGTGGTGGATTTTGGGTTTCCAGTAAAGTAGAGTCCACAAGCCCAAAGTCTGCCCAGCCCTGTCTTGAAGGCGCTTCTAAGGAACTTTGCGCGCGCGCGCGCACACACACACACACACACAGAGAGAGAGAGAGAGAGAGAGATACTGTGTGTGTACACACAGTATGTTTACGGTTTCTGTCTTAAAATATAGCAATGAAAGGAAACATTTGGACTGCTACATACACCATGGGTAAGGGTAAGAGGTCTAAATCATCAGGCTATTAGCCATAGGGAGGAAACGATATTGATGCAATTTGTGGATCTGTAATTTGCCCCCTCTTTGGTTAACAAGGAAAGAACTTAAGGCATGGAATCAGCGCAGGGGCTGAGGACTAGATCCCATGCTTCTGTAGGAGGGGCATTAGGATCCTGTTGGGTGTACATTTCAGGTTGCCAGATTGAGCAATCCGTCACAGCCCTCAGACGCACAGGCATACAGATGCCTTTTGGCTCTCTGAAAAGGTTAAAGGAAAAAAACCACTGCTATCTGCTTAGGAACTTGTTATTCATGTTACCTGCATTCACTGATGACCTGTGCTTCATCATATATAAGCAACGATCTAGGCATAATAGACTTCTGTTCAGTTCATCCATAACAGCCAGATCTAGCATACAATTTTGGCTTTATGGTATTGTTTCACTTTAGAGATAGCCTCACACAACCAACGTTTCTAAAATGCACCATTTGATCACGTACTAATGCATTCATTTTTCATAAATACTGAGAAATCACCAAATGTCAGAGTCTTGTTCCTGTTAGTTTCATTCTTCATATTGGATACTGACAGTTACTGTGCAATGGAAACTTTTTCAAGCATGGCTGGTATTATAGACACATTAGTGTGAGTTTTGAAGGTCCATTTCAATGCATCTGACATATTATATTTCACTTACCCAGAGAACAGAGTTTTACCCAGCTGATAAGCAGAATGTGCAGTTTACCTTACAAAATTCCAGAGGAAATGGATGCACCTACTTAAGTCAGCAGTATTGTCCCCATAGCAACAGGCTGTCCCATTTAAGTGCATTGAACAGAATATCAGCACAGAACAGACCTGGGCATTGTACGGCCGGCGGGCCACATCCGGCCCGATGGCTGACCCTGACTGGCCCGCATGAGGTCACTGGCAAATATTCAACCTGACTTCAGTGCACTTGTTGAAGCCCAAAACAGACTAGATTTCTCTCACTGAACAACAACAAAAAAAGAACTGAGGTAATGCAAACAAACAAAGCTGGATGCATTTATAGGGAATCCAAAGGCAACTTGGATTGTTGAGTTTTCTGTTTCTCTGTTCTGTTATAATTCGTAAGGTCTGTACCTTACTATGTTAAGTGCTGGGAGATTACATATGTTGTACATTTGTGCTATACAAGTAATATTGAATTGAATTTATTGCTTTTCATGTAATGTTAATGTTTTTGTGAATATTCATTAAATAGTGTTGTTCTGTGCTCCACATTTTCATTGTATCATTGTAATGTTTCATTTATTGTTTTTACAGAGATATATATTGAGCAGAGCTGTAAGTGTATTGGTCTGGCCCTTAATAACTGTCAAAGTTTCTCTTGTGGCCCCATAGGAAAATTAATTGCCCACCCCTGGCATAGAGGTACGATCTCAAAAAGTGTAACATTCCTGGGAGGAAATTATTTCCTGGAAACAAAATGGGGTCTGAAAACAGAGCAGACTCCTAGAGAAGCAGGGCTTGTATTAGGGGCTTTGGGAAATGGTCCTGTAATCCAAAGGATGCTGCAAGATGGCCCCGACAAGTAACAACTGCTGACAGGGACCACAGGCAGCCTGCCTGTTCCTGGCTGGGACAAGCTGCTTTCTCTGAGGTCAGAGGAAGGTTCCGGAAGCAGCGTGACTGCTCTGAGGCAACAGTGGGGAAAGCACTACAAAGGGGCATCCTTTGGCTTTGCAGAGGTCGTCGGAAAGGGGTCGAGATGGTCTGCTGAAATGCAGTTCCTCATTTCCTAGCTCACGACCTAACCACGAACAGGGTTTGCGCTCTCTTCAAAGCTAAAATCAGCTAAAAGCAGACCTTGCTGGGCTACTATCATCTGTCAGATAACCAGGGGTACTTTTGGATGGAGAGCTCCTAGTGCTGTCAGTCAGAAGACTCCATTCAGATGCAGGATGGAGCGACAGCACCGGGAGTGATGGCCTCACACGGCTTCTTGGTGTTGGGCTCAGCCATAGGCAAAGGCAAGGTGGGGGACTGTGGCAACCTTCACAGCAGAGGTCATGAGAGAAGGCACCTGGGGTGTAGGGTGAAGCAGGATAATAGGGTGGGAGGAAGGCCTAGATAAGCGCTAAGTGGCTTTTGAAAGAACAGGCGAGAGCAGCCTTGTCCAGCTGTTTTGCGCTGTGGCTCCCATTAGTCCCACCCCACCTGGGCAATGGCTGGAGATGATAACAGTTGCAGTCCGGAACATCTGGCTAAGGAAGACTGGGCTAGATCAATCATAGGTGCATATCTGACGATCAGAAGCTGCCATTGTGCATGGGCAAAAAGCTGGTCTGTGCAGCATCGTCAGGTTCCCAGGCAACAGACCTTCTTGCCCACAGCACATGAAGCATGTGCTACTTAAGGGTGAGCTTGCCGCAATCAAACCCAGAAATGGCGCTTGGGGTGCCAAGGGTGAGCTAGGGCCAGGTGGGGGCTGGGTGTGCTTGGGTATGACTGTGTGTGTGTGTGTAAGGACAAGGACAACCTTGGAAGACACTGACATGTTTATAATGGAAACATGACCTATTTGAAAAGCGCGGGGGAAAATTGCAAGAAATTGATGCAACCCCATAGAAGAGCTAACTGAAATGCTTTACACTTACTAAAGGGTCGATCCGCTTTCCACACATGTCCCACCGTTCCTACATTTTATCAGCTGGCATGGAGATTGTTCGCATTGTCCCACATTGCGGCCAGCATTGGGATGACCTTCCGGGATCCCTGGTGCTTTCAGCTGTTGATCCCTCCCAGTGCGAACTTGTATGTCAAAAATGCAGCCTTCAAAGAAAGAAACAGGAGCTTACATTGTTATTTATTATATGAGTATGTACGTGCTGCCCCTTTCCTGCAAGGAACTCAAGGCAGCCTACACAATCCCTTCACTCCTCTTTATTTTACCCTCACAACACCCCTGTGTGGTAGGTTGCATTGAGAATGAGTGACTGGCCCAAAGTCAAGAGCGGACTTGAACCCCCCCCCCCCGCCCCCCCAGCATTCTGACCACTATACCATACTGGCTCTCACTTCAAAACGATGGAAGGTCTCCCTGTTTTTGCCATGAGCTCATGTTTAATAGCAATTGGCCAAACTATTAGCCATAGTTACTTAAAGTTTATATTACAAAAGACTAGGAGGCAAAACACGGTATCCGGGCTCAGCCATAGTGCCATTTGATTGCAGGTAGTTCTCTAAGGCTCCAACTAGATGTTAATTAAGCCAGTAGTTGTAGCAAAATTGGACTTGGTAGGACATCCTTACTTGGCCATAAGCTTGCGGGGTAAATTTGACCCAGTCTCTGACTTCCAGCCTATCCTACCTCACAGGGTTGTTGTGAAGTTAAAACAGAGAGGAGGAAAATCATGTATGCCTCCCTGGAAGAAAAGGTGGCATGAAAATGCTAAAACAACAACAAAAATTTAAAATTGTGCTGTTATGAGAAAGTGCAGCTGCACATTTAAGCTGCACTCCTGTAGCTACAATAACTAGGCAGCTAAATACACAATGTGTATATTTTAAAAGGGGAAGAATAAACTTCATAAACACCTCCTTGAAAGTGGATGCAAACATATGCCTTTTGTTCTCAGGTATCTGAGTTCAAAACATCCTGTGAGAATTCTTAACTTTGTACTGGCACAAGCTGAAAAACATGTAAATGGCATGCAGACATGTGCCTGAGACTCATTTAGGTTGTTTTCCTGAATGCCTGTTTCCCAGCACTTTTCATGAATTAATTGCCTGATGCTGCAACATTGCAAGGGAGTCTTCAGGCCTCTGGAGTGCGAGAGTGGGAGTGGGGTGTTTTGGCCGATGTGCGTCTCTGTGTGTGCATGACAGGCTGGGCAGGCCTGATAGAGATCATATTTTCATTGCTTTTGCACATCGATTTTTTTTCTGGGCCTGCCTGCTAATATCTGATAAACACAGAAGGATGTTCTGTTCCTGAAGTGGCCCTTGATTGCCAATGAAAAGGGCTCAGAGATCTACGAAAACACCCAAAGAAGAGCACAGTGAGTTCCAGAGAAACCATAATAAGCCCGTAATGGAAAATAAGGTGATGCCAGGGCTGACACATTTGGCTTAATGGTTACCTGCACACTGTCCAAATACAGAAATGAAGTGCTGCTGGAATACAAACAAAGCTGTTATTCATGCATGTCATAGAATAATCACAGCCAGCTCCCTGAGTTTATGTTAAACCTAAGAGGCAATCTGATGAGATACTAAAAATGGCAACTTTTCCAGATGATTAAAAAGAGGACAATGCCTTGCCCTGCAAGGGAAACAGCCCTGCTTGGTTGGGGGTGGCTGTGATTTTTGGTGTTTGCTTTTTTTCTTTCCCTAAATCAGAGGGTATGGGTCTTTCAGCACCAGAAATGGTGGAGGGAAGCCCACAGCCTTCAAATATTAGATCTTTGATTGATAGCAATAGCCCCACTAAACTTTGCATGAATTACTAAAGATACACATCAAATTGCACTTGCAAACAAATGCATTTTTAAATTCCGGAAAACGTGAGAGTGTGCAAGACAACAGTTTCCTCTGTCTGTATGTGGAGACCTAGTCCCAGGGGACCTCCAGAACCCAAGTTGTCTTCTGGTTTACATATTTATGCTAGACATAATCCAAAGTAAAAAGCTGGAAATTCTGTGGAGATTCATCTCCAAAATATAGAATTTTCCCAAAGGGCTTTGTTATTGTCATGTGCCATCAAGTCATCTCCAACTTAGGGTGGCCCTATCAGTGAAAGCCCTCCAAAATGTCTTGTTCATGACAGTTGCGTTCAGTTCTTCCAAACTGGAGACTGTTGCTTCCTTTATGGATTCAATCCATCTTATATCTGGGCTTCCCCTTCTTTTTCTGCCTTTGACTTTCCCTAGCATGATTGTCTTCTCTTGTGAGTCTTGCCTTCTCATGATGTCTTTGAAGTATGTCAGCCTCAGTTTTGTCATTTTTGCTTCTAGGGAAAACTCTGGCTTGATTTGAACTAGGACCCACCTGTTTGTCTTTCTGTCAGCCCAGGGTATTTGCAAAGCTCTCCTCCAGCATCACGTTGTGAAGGTATCAATTTCCCCCCTATCAGCTTTCTTCACTGTCCAGCTTTCACACCCATACATTGTGATCAGGAATAAAATGGTTTGGATAATCTTGACCCTGGTCTCCAGTAAAACACCCATACAACCGATATTTTTTTCTAGTTCCTTCACTGCTGCCCTTCCAACTCTTGGCCTTCTTCAGACTTCTTGGCTGCAGTTTCCCTTTGAATTGATGACTGAGCTGAGGTATGTGAAATCTGTTTATCATTAACAGTAAAGTTCTGTTACTCTTCTGTGGCTGTTTGTTGATTTTTAATTTTTTTTGGTTTTCTTACTATTCACCTGCAGTCTTGCTTTTGTACTTTCTTCTTTCACTTTCCTCAGTTGCTGGTTCAAGTCATTGCTGCTTTCTGCCAGTACTATGGTATCATATGCATATCCTAAAATAGTGATGTTTCTTCCACCCATTTTCACTCCTTCCTCGATTCTATTCCAGCTTTCCTTATGATATTTCCTGCTTACAGATTGAACCGAAAGGGAGATCAAATGCTTCCTTGTCTGACATCTTGTCCTATGGGAAACCATTCTGCTTCTCCATATTCTGTCCTCACAGTAGCTTCTCCTCTGTGATACAGGTTCTGCATCAGGACAGTCAACTTGCTAAGGTGGAGCCCTTTATTTCAGAACCATCCATAGCTTCCTGTGATCAAAGGCTTTGCTGAAGTTGATGCAGCACAGAGCGATCTTTTTCTGAAATTCTTTGGTGTATTCTAGCAGCCAATGTCTATTTGCAATTTGATCTCTAGTCACTCTTCCTTTTCCAGATCTGGCTTGAACATCTGGCTTTTCTTGCTCCAAATACAGTAGTACTCTTCGTTGCAACAGTTTGAGCATCAGCTTGTTTTGTTTTCCATATTTTTGACATATTTTTGTTAGGATTTGGACTGATTTATTCTCTGCATCTTGGAATAGTTCTATTGGCATCCTATCCATTCCAGGTACTTTAGTCTTTGCAACCACTTTCAGAGTAGCTTTCACTTCACTTTTGAATATTGCAGGCTTTTCTTCATCAGATTCTGCTTCAAAGTGGTCTGTCATCCTATTATCCTTTTTGTATAGCTCGTATGTATAATCTTTCCCACTTCTTTTTATTTTTTCCAAAGGACTTTGCTTATAACGAAATCAAATCTGGCCTTTGTCTTCCCTGAACCTGTCTCCTAAGTTTCTTAGCTATTCTGGTAAATGCTGATGTGAAGTATGTCCATACTGCCGAAGCAGCAGACAGGATGAATATGGCGGTAATTTCTCAGCTCCAGAATAATGGCACATGTCCCCTTGCTGTAGCATTTAGAGGCAGAATTGCCCTTTAGGACAGGGCAGAAGCTCCTATGAACTGCAGCAGTGCCTGTGCACAAGCTCAGGACAGGGCCTAGACACAGGTAGGCGGGTGCTGGGACCACATTTCCCAGATGCTGACCCTTCTCTCAGAGCCCTCTAGGCTATGGTTTTGCTTTTCCCAGCCTGACATGATGGCCATGTGAATATACCCCTCACTGAGATGTGATCTGGGCTCTCAACTGCTATATCAGCAAGGACAGGGCTTTTCCATGATAGCGCCAAATTCTGGAATACCTTCTTGGGGGAAATGTAATCTCTTCTCTTACTGCCAGCTTTTCAGCATCCAGCAAGGGTTATTTCAGAAGGCATTTGGAGTCCTCCAAGTTGTGATTTTGATGCTTTTCTGTAACAGGCCTACAATTGTATTTATGGATAATTCCATTTAAATGTTATTTGATTCAAGCATATACTGAATATCATTCTTGTTATTTCATTGTATGCTGCTTTGATGGGCAGGTATAAAATTTTTAGTAACATAAAGTGGCATACAACTCTCTCTTGCATGCCTTCTAACCTGGTCATTGCTCTGCATAAAGCTGACACCTGTCCTGCAGTCCTTTTTATTTGCCAGGAAAACATATGCTTCCTTTTAAACACATAAACTTGTTAATATAAACACAGTGGATTTTAAAGGGGAATGAAATGCAAGGCAAATTATACTTACCTTGAAAACTATTCTTAAAAATGGATCCACTTGGGAGGAGTTCTGGAATGTATTCCACATAACCGCCTACATAAAGCTGACTGAAGACATTAAGCCCAACCAGCTTTCCTGGAGATCTAATGGTTTTATTTTTACCATCATCCACCTTAAAAGCAAACAAATGAATGAACGACAAGCAAACAAACATCTGTTACTCATAGGAAATTCAATAAGTCTTTCATATTATTATGTTCCAAGAGAAGAACAAGATGCATAAAATTAATAATGGGGGAGAGATTGGGATTCCACCTATTACAACCTTCATGCTGCATTTTGGGGTGACATTAGTGCTTCAGGTGCACATACCTTACAAGAATTTACACATAAATAGTCCTACTGACTTGTTCTTTTATGACATTGCCACAAAGTGCAATTGAAAATGTGTCCAAATTTTGTATTTCAAGCTTTTGTGTTTATCCCAAAAGGCTGGGGTGATAAAGTCACCCCTGAAGCGCCACAGACATAGTTGGGCACAAGCTTGATTCAGTTCAGTTCAGATCATCTTCATCTCATTTTAAAGCCAAGATTCTGAGTTAAACCCCCCAGCAAACTTAATAAAAATCCATGGAAGGAAAGCTGTGTTATTTTTTTTTTTTTAAGTTGGTAGGTCAAATCACTGTTATGCAGAGAAATGTCAATAGACCCACTATTGTTTTACATATTTTTCAGTTTGCCTGGCCTTAGGAAAAAAAGCAAATTAAAACATTAATAACCTATGCTTGCCATTCTTATGCTGATTGCAACTCCTTGAGTTAAAATTCCATCCAGAACAAAGCTTTTAAAGATTTTGCATTGCTATCCCCTCAGGCACATCTGCTGGTGTTATAAAGTTACCCCAGAAGTTCAGTTTGTTGGCTTTGGAAGGGATTTTTCTATGTTTATGCAAATTCAGTGAGGCCTTTTTATTTTCTTCACCTGAGTGGCAGCCTCTTTTTGTACTATTTCCTTGAGTTCCACAGAAAGTCAAGAGCAGCTTGTAAGCAGCACAGCACTGGATGGCCACAATTAGGGAACTGAGCAAGCTGCCTTTTACCAAGTCAGACCATGGTTCCATCTAGACCAGTATTGACAACACTGACTGGCAGCAGTTCTCTGGGGTTTCAGGCAGGAATTTTCCACTCCTACTTGGACCTGCCAGGGATTGAACTGGAACCTTCTCCATGAAACCATGTGCTCTGCCACTGAACTACCATGGAGCAAGGCCTTTCCTGAAAGAAGGAGGCACTGCTCATAGTTATCCTACATGCAGACTTCACCCCGTTGCACTTAGGACCACAGTGAAAGAAACGACATTTACCCGTTAAGGTTCTGGAGAGTATTTTAAGGTTCTGCTTGCATGCCAGCCTTAGAAAAGACAATTCCTCCAAGGGGTTCAGGGTGATATACATGATTTTCCCCCAGCCCATTTCCTCCTTGCAATAGCTTTGTGAGAGGGGTTAGAGTGCAAGAGGGTGACTGATGCATGGTGGCCCGAGCTAGAACAGTGTCTCTTTCAAAGCAGCTCTTTCAAAGCAATTCTTACCTTCATCCAGCCATCCTGAAGAGATCTTCCTAGGCTGACCACATGAATGTGGCGTGTCAGATTCAGTGGCTCACTAATAATCTTGGCTGATCCGGACCCCAGGTTGTAGCTGTATACCACTCTGCCTTTGCGTAGGCCAAGCACGAGGAAATCATCACCGTTAAGACCTAGAGTCCATAAAATTACAAAGGGATACGTCAGGAGTGGCCAGACTTGCTCAAAGGAAAAGCCACATACGGTAAATGTCAGATGTCTGAGAGCTGCAAGACATGGACAAATGCTTATTTATTATGATGCATATATCATGACTTTATGAAAGTGCTTATCAGTGTATCATTTTTTAAAAGTGCACGATATGACACATAGACACCTGGATGCTTTCCCCAAAGAAATGGACCTTTAGAAACAAGAACTACTCAAAGCAAATGTCACATTAATCAAAAATAGCAGGGTTCATTTTACTGTTGTCACAGGCAGAATCCTGGCAATTATAGTTTAGTGAGGAGTCCTGAGAGCGTCTTGTTAGAATTCTAGCTTGGAGACCTTGTCCTATGAGGGACCTTTGAAGGAGCTCCAGAAGGGACGAGCAGCAACAGGACAGCCACCTTCAGGGGCTGCCACTTAAACCGCACAAATTCTCTTTGGAGCTGCGGCTGGTCCCTACTCTCTCCCATTCAGGAAGAGGGTCAAGATACCTCTTTCCAAGCTGGTTCTTCAGAGTCAGCAGGAGTGGGTGGGAAATGCAGGGTGAGCGCTCGTGAGGATGCCCGCTGACTCACTCTCTTCTTGCTCAGAGCAGTGGTTATTCTGATGGTGGTGTTTTCTCAGCATCTTCAGTGGGGGCCACCTCATCTGTGGCCCTACCCCTGGTGAAGAAGCCAGAGACGGAGCAGATGGTGCATGAGAGGTTGTTACCTTCTGCCCCTCTTCCCTTCCTACACAATTATTCCATGCTCACTCCTGAAGGCCTGAAAGAAGAGCTCATGGTCAGCCTGGATTTGCTCCATCTTTGGCTTCTTCACCAGGGATGGGGCTGCAGCTGAGGTGGCTGCTGCTGAAGACACCAAGGAAATGCCGTCACCACCAGAATAACTGCTGCTTCCATCGCCGCCTCCAGTAGCACCACCAGAGTTGCCCCCTGGAGAACTGCCAAAGCTCTTTTGCACTCATCAGCAAGACTGGGTGAGACATGCTGGGCAAGTGCTTGTGAGGCCGCAGGCCCACCCTGAGTGGGAGGGGCCAGCAGCCTCAGGAAAGCTCAGTGCTGGGAGCTGGAATGGGGGGCAGGGGGACCCTGAGCTCTCTGAGCTACAGAATAAGCTCAAGAGCCACATGCAGCTCCTAGGCCTCAGTTTGGCCACCCCTGGTATATATCAATAGATCGAGTCTTGGAGGACATCTCTAAGGACCCCCAACAATTAGCTTGAAAAGCCATCACTTGTGATTTCCTTCACAAAAGAGGTACTTGACAACTTGTCAAGAGAATTAAAGGAATCACAAGCAATACCTCTGAGCGAAGGCTAAATTAAGGCAAGCCAAAACCCTAAATCATGTCAAGATTCTAAATCCCCTTGATATAAAAGCTAAAGAGGAAAAAAAAAGTATACTATAATAGAAAGTGTAATGACAAAATAAGAGGCAATGAAAAAACTACATGCATCCTACTCCTTGCATAAAGCTTTACTTCCATTACCAAATACCTTATGATTTCTTAATTAGCATATATGAAACTGAAGACTTTTATTTTGTAGCAATACAAGCACAGAGATTAGAATTTATTTAATGGAAATAGCAATGTCGCTTGTAATTAAAATAATTAATACTGGTATTCTAAACAAAACATACAGATTTGCAGCAATCCTGTGCATGTAATTGAAATGAAAAAAAACAACAACCTTATAACGTTTTACTTGACTGTGTAAAAGAAATTGAAAACTTAATGTTAAGGAACATAAGAACAATACAGTTTAGCACATTGTAAACAGAAGCAGCACAGTTGCTTCTCTTTGCACATCACATTTAAAACATTTTCTTTCAGGATTTAAAAAAAAGGAAAGTCATGGATGATGTCATCAAATGATAAGCTAAGAAGTTTATTTTCTGTGCACATAATGCTTAGTGTTGGCATCTTTTTCTTGCAGCACCAAGAGTCCACAGTTCATTTTTATTTATTTTCAGCTGTGAAAATGACAAAATGGCAGTGTTACCATTAGACTAAAAAAGAGCTGCATTTTTACTTTGACATCAAGGAAAGCCAACAGAGTCTTATTTCGGAGAATGATTTGACACATATTGTGGTGGCATAACTTTCCTTTATCTGAGTTATTTTGCTTGACAGAAGCATGGATGTGTTTTCTTTCTCCAGTGAGGTTGATACCTGCATCTTCAGGGCAGCCTTTCATCTGCAGGTTTACCTCTTCACACACCTGCTCTTCTGAGGTTTGAATACATCTTTTTGTCACAATATGATTGCTCTATTCTTCAAGTCAGCTTCAAGGGCACCCGGTACTGGAATAAAGGATTTTATGTAAAATTCGTCTCATGGGGAAGCTTTTCATCAGCCTTAGGTACACCACTGACTTGCTTGTTTTCCCCTTTTTACATTTTTTTAGTCATGCACTTGTAGGAAGTTTGCATTCAGTTTTTTTTTTTTTCACTTTGAATTCAATTTAATCAAAAATCTCTAGGGGTTTTTCATGAAATGATGAAGTGATGTGCAAGACCTTGCTGGGTTTGTGGCAATGATCTCACAAAATAATTCCAAAGATCTGAAGTGGACATGGACTCTTTCATTTTCTCCAGAAGAATGCAAGCTCTCTCTTCTTGTACAACCTTAGTTTGGACATGAGTAAAAACATCAATAATTGAATTAAAGTCCATAGGTACAGCTGAAATAGTCTTTGCATGTGCTTCCCAGCTAGTGTAAGAAAGATGTCTGGTACTGTGCAGTCTGGACCCAGATTTGAGTTCTATGCAGCATTTAGTAGAAATCAAGAGAAAAGGATATGTTTGTTATACAACAGCATTTGTAAAAAATTGCATCAAAGCAGCAATCACCTGCAGCATGACCAGGAAGGTTCAGGAAATGGGCAGTGCATGGAATTTACACATCAGTGAGAAATCCATTTTCTGTTCAGCTTTAGCTGCTGGAAGGATGCTCCTTTCCATGGAGAGGGGCCTGCACATGCTAACCAAACCACCTGTGTGGGTTATCGTACACTGAGCTGGTCTCCCGGCCTTCAAGACCGGAGTGGACCACTTGCCAGATCAGGCAGATGAGCCCGGCTGGGCTGTGGCGAGCGCTTCTCATTCCTCACCTCCCCTTCTGAAAGCTGAAGAGGTGGCTCAGCCCAGTGACGATTGGCCCAGGAGGCTTCTCTCTGAGCAAAAGATTCAGCTAGATAGGGACTGGCTATGGAGGCTCAGCTCACAACTAGCAAAGGCTGGGGAGGGGCTTAAGACTGGGGGAGCTACTGTTGCCATTTGGTCTTCATTGTAGGC